ATTATTATTATTATTATTATTATTGTTGTTGTTGGTGTTGACTTTTTCCAGCAGTACTAGGAAAAGCCATTGTTTTTTTTCTATATTTTTTTTTCTTGCATATATTTTCCATATTTTTTTTTTTTTATGGCAGTCACTTCCCATGCTTAGAAATTTCCGTGCTTTGCCGAAGCATAGGCCATATATCAAGGATGTGCCTCCTAATGTTTAGTATCCATCTACGGTGGGGTGTGCATGTTAGGACTAATTAAAGTGATTTAAGGTCAAACTCTCTACACCAGATACTTCAAAAACCGGTCAGTTGATGTGAATACAACTTGTAGAAAAGTTTAATCAATCAATTTATGTGTTAGTTAAGGGTGTAAATTTCAGGGTCTTTAACATTTTTAAGGACACATACGTACATATCTCTGTAAAAAATGACAATGGTTCTAAATGTAACATTGTTTAATACTTTTTGTAGGTCTTGTAAAAGAAATGATTACATTTTTGTAACGATCCGTACTATGGTGTGGTTCTGAAGACCATTTAAAGGAAAACGTCCCAAACCACATATTTAATCAACTGATCTGAATGAAATATTCGGAAAAATTTTAACCAAGTTAGAAGGACGAAATTAGTATGTGCTGATGACGAATCAGTCAGTGGTGTAATTGTGGAGGTCATTTCAGTTTTTGAGGACCCTGACCTAAATATCTCTTTAAAAAAATCAATGGGTATAATTTAAAACTTGTATAATATTGTCAAGGTCGAGTAAAGAAATGTAGGGGATGATCCAGGTCAGGGTGTAAATTTGAGGGTCATTAATAAATCGTCCCAGTTACAAATCGATAAAATATGAAACTCTGCAGAATAGTTTTTCATAGTGAAATGAAGAAATGAACCAAGTTTGGTGACGATCTACAGTATGGTGTGGACATGAGGACTATTTAAAAATTTTTTTGTTGACAGTTGATTAAATTATTTAAACGCAATTTGGGGTTTCTAAAGCGCTTAATCCAGGCTAGGTTAAATTCAAAACTATATGCATTTAACAATTTTTGCTTTTATTCATTGAATCGCTATGAACTAAAAATGCACTTTCCTATTGAAGATCGGCTCATGTTGTGCGCAATAGTTATATGTTACAGTATATTACCATTGCAGTAAGTTCAAGTCTCACTAATAAGGTCGGAGTAACTTGGTTTTCGTTTTTTTTTCACTTCGTTTTTTCCACTTTCTTAACATTATATTGGTTTTCCGTGTTTTGTTTTTTTACACTTTATACCTATTAACGACTTTTCATTTGTTGCAATTTCAACTTCATTTCTCATTAGAACAATGGGAAAAGCTATGTTCTGTTGTTCAAACAGACATAGTAAGTCCAGTTATTGCTGTTGTTGTTACCCAGTCAGCAGCAGCTGACTGGGTTCTGTTTCTTAGCAGTTTCTTCCTCCTTTCTTTCTTTCTGGCAACAATTTAAAAGGCTACTAGTGGCAAACCACTGGACCGATTTAATTAAAACTTGGTCAGTAGGACCGGTGCCACTTCCCATTTATGTGTTGTTTACAACTTGAGGTCAAAGATCACATAAGGGACATTAGAGTCAAAAAACCAAAAATCGTATAAAAGAATACTTGTCTCACAAATAACGTAGCACAGTCTTGTCCTTTGCACATACACATTGGCATAAGGCAGAGTCTATAGGTTGTTCAGGGATAAAGGGGTCAAAGGTCATTAAGGGGTAAGTTTTATCTTTTTTCTGGCAACATTTCAAAACGCTACTAGTGCCAAACGGTTGTACCGATTTCAACCAAACCTGGTTAGTATAAACGGCGACACCTCTCATACATGGGGGTGTTCGCTGCTTGGGGTCAAATGTCACATACAGGTCATTAGGGTAAAAAACTTTCAAAAAAAGAATAAAAGACTTCTGTCACAAATAACATAGCAGTCTTGTCCTAGGTACATATGTATTGGCATAAGGTAGGGTCTTTATTGTGTTCAGCGATTTATAGTCAAAGGTCATTAAAGGGTTATTCTTTTGTTCTCTCTAGTAACATTTCAAAATGCTACTAATGGCAAACCATTGGACCAAAATCAATCATATTTTGTCATTAATGACTGGCGACACCTCCTACACCCCAGTCTGGGATCAGGGGTCAAATAGGGGTCATCGGGGTTAAATTTTCAAAATAGCCCAATTGAGCTCAACTTTACCAGGAATGATCCTTAGGACCTTCTAAACACAAACAATACTCTTTACCCCATATGTCAAAGTTCATAGGTCAAAGGTTGAAGATGTTACTAATGGCAAACGATTGAACCGAATTCAATCAAATTTGACCATTAAGAACTAGTGACACCTCCTACACCCCTGTCTGGCATCAGTGGTTACATTGGGTTCATCGGGGTAAAATTTTCAAAATAGCCCAATTGAGCTCGAATTTACTAGGAATGATCGTTAGGACCTTCTAAACATGAAAAACTACTCTTCATCTATAGGTAAAAATCCACAAGGGTCACTATAGTGAAAATTATCAAGTATTTCTAGTGACTAACGATTGGACCAATTGCATTAGATAGACTTTTAGCAAACATGGGGTGTTCACAGGTTGAGATTAAAGGTCACAGTGGTTATCTCTTAAAAAATGACTGGGTTCATGTTCTATTGAACATAGTATCTCTAGTTATTATTATTATTATTATTATTATTATTATTATTATTATTATTATTATTATTACACATAAGATTTGACGATACGCTTTATTATTTTCATTAGACATCTTGTAAGGCACTTTTTATAACTCGCAGTCCTGAAACCCTTTACTCAGATGTATGTACAATGATAGCGGAGCTAAATACTAGTACAGTTAATAACCTACACTCGATTGAGTAAGTAAAAATTTTTGCTAACAATGTACTTGGAACATTTACAAAGTAAGGCTTTATAGGGGTCGTGATAATTTAAAACAATATGTAATGAATATCATTAACTAGAAATTCGAAATAGATGGAAGTATTGTTTTTAAATAACCAATCGGTATTCCTGACGATGACATAATTAATGTCGAAATATTGAATCCCAACACGATGGCGTGTATTTCAATACTTGGAGTATGTATTATACTTTCCAATCGGTACCACAATGTGTAATTGCATTGTTATCTTCGTGGTTACAGTATTTTTTATGATTTAAAAACTCCACTTCCCGAAGTTAACTTGCAAGGATATACTTAGGTCAGGTACCTGTCTATATTAGGTACGAGGAGAGGATCAGAAAAATGTGGTTGGATTGTGGTGTCATTTTGCAAACGAATAATTATAATTTGTTGTTTACTTTTTAGCTGTTGCTTATCAAATTTGTATCACTACAAATGTAATATATATTTTTTCAGCATTCCAAATTTGAAAATGGTCATAGCCGCTGGTGCGAACAACCAGAGGTGCGTATATTTTTTTAGACACCTTTAAATTGAAACAAACACTTAGCCATATCAGGTTGCCTATATATTTCTATAATTTGTGAAACATTTTTTTGCAGTGGAACAATCTCTTTTGAATGTATATCTGTTCGTGGATGTGAGGAAAAAGTTTGCGAAGCAGCTCGAAAGGTCACAATTGATGACGTTAGTTTTATGGCCATGACATCGGTAAAGATTTCAAGTACAATATCAAATAGACCAATAATATTTCTTCTTATTATTTAATTTTATTCCTCAATTTACCTAATCACTGGTTTACTTTTATATTGTGTTTGCATTGTTAACTATGACAGTTAATCTCATGTTTAACATCCTTGCAGGAACTTTGATTGGTTGCATTTTGTTTTGCTATATTTTGTAAAAAATGGGATACGTTGTAGAATAGAGAACATTGAATATAAAAAGTATGTGAAAATCTTTTCATTTAGAAGGGAGTACCCAGCAATTTCAAAATGACCACCATTGTAAACATTTTATTACCAATAATTGTGCGTTTATTACGTTAAAATATGTTAATAAATCTAAAGCTCTCTAATATCTCGTAATATTGCTTAAATAATTTTTAAACAGGATAGTTCGAAATCACATTATGCAAATGCAGATTTAAGTTTACTAATTATCTTTGTAACGATATCGTAGGGTACCACTGGGATACCAAAGTTAGCGGCATATTCATTTTTTCAAATGATAAATGGATCGGAGATGTTGCCAACAATTTTTGACAATCAGGTAAGAAAGTTTTTCAGTAAATCTGCCACCATATTTAATCAAATAGTTTCGGGCAGAAAAGTCTAGTGTCTGTTCCATTGCAGAGGCTGTGTTATTATTACATTATTACACAAAAAAGAAAACCGACCTCCACTTTAATTTCAGGTATATTTCATTCACTTCCATACCACTTCTGCATAAATTGTTAGCCGTTAGACTTCATATCAATGTCAATTAATGTATTTTATTCGAATAAACTCCCAGTGCGTTTATTGTTGAGAATGGTTTCAATGCAGGCGTTTATTGTTTTTTTTTTTTGTAAAATTAATACTTATATACTAAAACAAATGCCCCTTAATTTTACTATGTTGAATTACAACACATAATTACTGTCAAATTATGTTATTTCGTTTTTTTCTATCTCTCTTTTTGTGAGTATTTGACCCACCTTTATTTCTTTCCCTTGTTTCATTTATTTTTTTGTTCATATTTTTTATTCATCAAAAACAACAAAAACATAAAAATTAGAACTCAATTGCACTTAATAAGGGTCAGTCCACCATCGCTGACTAAAATCATTTCAACGCATCTTCTAACGTACATCACTATTCAGAATTATATGTATATTATATATACATATACACACATATACTTTTTATCATATACATACTTCACCTTGCCCTTAATTGAAGTAAGCATTTATTCTAATAAATACGGTAATCTAAGTAATCAGATACGGTGTGGCAAAGACAAGCCAAACCATTCATTTGAAAAAATAAATAAATAAGTACACTTATTTTTAGTTAATACAAGCAGTAAACGGGGCTATAAAAATATGGCCACATACGGTAATCATTTTTAAATGATCACCGAAGTTACAGAATATATAGAATTTTAAATATGCAGCTGTAAAAAAAACAGTAATCGAGAAATTATTTTAAGGAATTTCTCAAGCAGAAACCATTAAATAATTATAAAAAGATTTTTGTTTTAACTTTGAAAATATATTTCAGCATGTTTTTGCCAATATCTCTGAAAAATGATTGACGACGAGTGACTAATTATAGATAGTTCACGTGACATTTCTCGATGCTAAACAAATGCATGTTCTAATTCGAGAACTTTCATTCTTATTATTATTATTATTATTATCATTATTATTATTATTTATCTATTTTTTACTGTACTATTATTATCATATCTCTTTGTTACTGAACAGACTTTGGAGAGGCGAGGGTATTGCAATAGCGCACATCTGTGTGTGTGTGTCTGCCTGTATGTCTGTGTGTGTGTCCTTCCAGGCAAATAATCGAAAAAAATATTTGGACAGATTTACTGACTGTTACTGAACGATATGGACGCAACTTCTTCATACATTTTTCTTTTTCATATGAGCCAACTTCATAATTGAATGCTTCTTTCCAGTAGCTCATTTTCCTCCGAGGAGTGCCATACCAGTTTGTGCAGTATTTAAAATTATTATTTTAATTTTTTTTAAATTTTATATAAAACTTAATCTACGCTTGGTTGACCATTGAAATATATTATTATTATTATTATTATTATTATTATTATTATTATTATACTTTTTTTCATGCAGAAGAGTATGACTGCCACTGTGTCATACATGATGAATTTATGTATAGTATTCTGCCTTAATGAATATTTCCTCTCAGTTCGAAGCAGGCTAATATAACTATCTCCTGGGACTTAGTATTTCGTAGCGTTATTGTGATCGAAGAGTAAACTGTCTGGAAGCACCATAAATCAAATTTACTTTCGTTGACAGTTTTATTTTTACTGTACATATGAAGACGACTAATAACATTGATAAAATATTATAGATTAATGATTTTGATTTTAAAATAATATGTGATTCAAATATAATATGTGCATAATTTATGCAGAGAAAATAATGTATGTAATTGGCAATTCTATTTCGTCAAAACCATTTTTTGCGGGATATGGTTATGCGGAAATTCACTGGTGCAACATCACCCAGTTTATGCATATCCTTTCTCGGTATGTGAGTCGACCTATTTAACTAGTGTTCAATCAATGCTTCTCAATCGCATATATATACAATACTTTACCTCATATTTTTAATTTTGCTTTATTTCTATGGTCGGTTACTTGAATCAAACTGATGTTATATTACTCTAAAATCCTAAATTTCTAGACTCCTTTCTTTGAGATGTAATTTTCGGTTACTTTACCTCTAAAGGCTCCTTGATTTCACTACCAAATCTCTAGTGGTATTTGTGATTGGTTTATAATATTTAATTTTACTTTAGAAATTCCTTAAATCAATCTGATTGGAAAGCTGCCTTGAGTGTGGGTCAGCTACTAATTGCACATACTCTAATAGTGGACGCACAAGTGAATTATTTGCAAGATCTTTCAAGTTTATATTGTTGATATTTTGCCTTAAAATTTAAGTTGGCTTTAGATGTAAGTATGTCAATATGGTTATTTCAGCGTAGATCTTTTGTGATATTTACTCCCAGATATTTCACATTGTCAACATGCTTTTTTTGTTGCTGGCACTATTGATAGTATAGGGCTTTTGAATGTTTTACTTAATTTACTCTTCTGCTGATGGTAGATATTTGTCATTTGACTGGATGAAATTGCATCTACAAGTTGCGTTTTGTCAAGCAGGGGCAAATCTTGTTGGAAATTGATTGCATCTTTGCTGTTAGTGATCTCTTTATATATGATGGTGCCATCGGCAAAGAGGCTAATTGTGGATATAAGGTATACATGAAAAGACAAGGTCTATTAACTGACCCATGTGCTACCCGGATAAAACTGGAACATCAGCAGAGGAACAGCATTTAAAACTACACGTTCTTAAAAATCAGTGAGGAATGATGCTATCAAGATTATTACTTTGCCATACCAGTTAATGATTGTGATTGTGATGAGACGTTGATATTAAAACTTGTCTACCATCTACCATTTTAAAAATCAAGTATACAAATATTTGTTTGTTTGCTGTCTTTCATGGTGTGGAAGACTTCATTGACAAAATCTAGTAGCTGCGTTTCACAACTTCCTTTGTCTCTGAAGGCATATTGCTGAGGTATGTTGTGATGATTGGTGCGATTCTTGATGTTGCTTGTTATTACATGTTTCATAATCTTGGATGCTATGCTGGTATGGGTCTGTAGTTGAATGTATCGTACTTGCATCCCTTTTTTTCCGTCTCCAGTACATGGGTACCTCAGAAGTTTCAGTGATTTCATGTAAATTTTACAAAGTAATTTGTGAATGTTTTCATTCATCCAGTAAGTGTTTAGTATTAAAATGCATAGTGATCCAACTGGAGCTGGACGTAATGTCAATTAACGTTAATAATTGTAAGTTCCAGTTTTTAATTTAATTACAATGAAATATTTTACAAAGTAGGAATATAATTTTCTGAGCTAGTTCTTTAAGTGCTCTATTAAGGTACAGTTATCTGGCTTGCTTTCTCCGGGCAAAGCTGTTGCAGTTGTTTGGCGATAGTTCCCACATTAGTTATGGTATCTGGCATTTCTGAAAGGGTAGGTTTAAAGGGTGATGTGACATCTTTCTGTATTGAACACGGAATTTAACATTTTGTTCAATAATTCTGCCGCCATTGGTTATTAATTTTCCATTGTCTTGTTAGTCAGATACACCAATATGATCATTCTTTCTATTCTAGATGAATTTCAAATAACTCTTCATTGGTCGGTACTCATTCTGGTCTGTTTGGGTGAGATTATATCCTCTATATATTTAAAATATTCCTTCAGGAGGTTGCACTTTTCCTCATCTTTTGCATGACCATGCATTTTACTAGCTTTAAATGCTTAAAATGTTTATTTTCTTTCTTTGTCATTTTATACATTTTCTTCTGAGAGGTGTTGTTTGATGGAAATCTATAATGCTTCAGCAGCGTTTGAATTGGTTTCGGGTAAGTTGATCTTGTGATCACTTATTACAGGTAGTACATCAGCTCTGCATATTTGACCTCGGTTTGTTATTAAGAGGTCAAGAAGCATTATTTTAAAGAAAGAAATTCTACACACTGTATGAAACTTCTTTGTAGTATGAGATATGAAGAAACTTATAAGATTATTAAACTCTATGTCTCTATTTTTTTAAATTTCAGGAATAATAATAATAAACAAAATAATGATAATTATAATAAAAATAATAAAACGATAACAATAAAATGTGTAACAATTTATATTGCGATTGAGATACAGATACTGTCCAGTTCATTTATTTGATTGTGTACTTTTTAAAATATTTTATATTTCTATAATGTTTTTTTAATTCTAATAATAATAATTATAATAAAAATACAATAAAATAATAACAATATGATATTTATTTGATTTGCTCAATTGATATGGACTTTGTTATATTATATATTTACATGTTTTTGAATTCAAATTTAATGTAGTATTTTTAGGTGTTAAGTATTGTTATTGTTGTATTTGCCATTATTGATTGTCATCATTGTTGATTTATATGTATTTATTCACAATTGTAATGTACTGTAACATACTCGCAATTCAGTTTTAATCGAAATGAGGTGTTGAAATTATTTAATCTTGAAATCTGAAGAACATTATTTCTTCTTCTTGGTTATTCAATTGCGTGAGGCCGTTTTCGCATAGTAAATCATTAACTCTAATACGAATAGCTGGATATGTTCAATGAGGCTTGCATGAGTGGAATTTCCAATCCCATCCAGGAAGGTTAAAGTCTCTACCACTATGATTTTTTTTTTGTTGCTTTTGGTGATTTTTTCTTATATGATTTATCTAGGATTGTGTTCCTCTTACTGGTTTAGGTTAGGGTTTTTGAGTTGTAGACATGTGAGTTGGGCTTGGAAGAGTGGAAAATAATGAGTGTAAACTTTAATCATTCTATAAGGTTATGGAGGTCGAAAAAATGTAATTCTTATTAGGTCTGCTAAATGAACCATTAAAGCCAAGAAGAAGTAAAATCTTTTGTCATAGACATGTTGAAATTTTAAGGAG